ACAACGGCGTCAATGGAGCGTTACCCCCTCTAGGTGCTTGTAGATCCTTCTTGAGCACTTTTCTTGCACTTGTTTGGGAAATAATTAATGCTATGGGGGGGGGGGGATTGGCGGAGTGGCAATTTGTTCGTTTCTCGAGAATCAGTATCATGTTCGAGCCTTCCCCCCTACAGCACCAAGTTTAAATGATTCTGTTCTGTTCTGCACGTCTCAAGCTACTTGTTCGTCGATGGTCTATGCATTCTGCTCGCATACCAAAGTGGTTCGACTTTGCAAACCATTGCGCATGACTCATGTTATCTTTGCTCATAGTTTTATATGCTTTATGTTTGTGCTTTGCATCAATTGCTTTCCATTAATTGCTTTTCATTCTTCATAATCTATTTGTAATAAGCACTATGTCGCTTTAGGCCCTATCATGGGTAGAGGGTTAAATAAAACCGCATATCATAAAATAATTAATTCTCTGACAAGCTTTGAAGCAGATGCCCCCTTTTGTTGATTCCATTGTTGGCTAATTTTTTGAATGGCTGCTTTTTTCGTATCGTTTGCGAATTGCTAATTGTTCTTCCTGATCATTTTGATCATTGTTTGACTGTTGTAAAACTGATGGAGCCGTGCAGACCACAAAAGATCTTCGTAAATCTATCGCCGTTTTTGTACTTTGAAATTACAAATCTTTGTAAATCTCTACTTTTCATAATCTAAAATGACAACGACACAAACAAATCTAGCACATTGAGTATGGCTTGGTAGAGATTCACTGGAGGCGTCTTATGAAAGAAAGAATAAGGACTGAAGAATCAAAACTAAGGGAGATATTTGAAAAATACTGAGACTTGCATTCTTTATGATGTACCTGTTAGATTTTAAAATGCATTGAAGGCTTATATTTTTCTAGATGAAGCAACAGCAACAAATGAACAATACTGGATTAACTTCAGTGATAAATTATTTACGACTGGAAAATACAACTGTTCACAAAGAACATCTCACAGAGATAAGAGATCTTTATCGACAAGTGCTACACCTATCGCATGATGCTCTACTACCGGAGGATGCAAACGAAGAAGCCCTTAGAGAAGTAGCCCGTCGACTTAGTCTTTGTATTGATACAGACGAAAGTCAAGAATGCTTGGGCGAGTGTGTCAAATGTCAAGATATCAATGATTCTAGAATGCTTGTTACAGCAAAATTGACTGGTCCAGTAAAACCACTGGACGATTCCACCCCGGAAAATATTCGTTCTTCTCCTTCTCCAGTTCGATTAATACCACATTTTAGATCACATTCACCACATATTGCTCAAGAATCAACAGTTGTTACAGATATTGATTGTTTATTGACCTTTCAAATACTAGATGATGATGTGCAACAATTTATCCATTCATTTCTGTTGCAAGACGTAAAAGCGTTGTACAAGCATGTTACTACGTAGGTTTTACGACTTCTTTAATAACGTTACTTCATGAAATTTCTTAATAACGTTTTTGTTTTAATTTCTAGTGAACCAGCGTCAATTTTGGTTCGCTATGGTGAATGCTTTTATCTCTTAAAAAGCTGTATACTCAGTTTATTTATACGAAAACAATTGCACGATCGTGGTACACACACATCAAACACCAACCAAACTTCGAAGTGTTTTCATCTGATCGAACCTGTGAGTTTGACCGATGATTTTGGGACATGGCAATACAAGCATTTTCATGACATATTCGACTTGGAATTGTCACCACATGGCACCAATGCTCAATTTCCTCCTCGATGGAAATTAGCCGATGATGTGCGTATTCACTGTCTCATACGTAATGATAGTTTCACCGGAATAAAATCTTCATCATCGTTGAAGGGAATACCACGTACAGCATCACTCGAAGCGTTTGTACACGATGTATGTGCTCATGAAAATAACGGTCAAGGGAACGCATGGCTTCTCGAACTACATAAAGAAGATATACTCACATTTGAGCATTTAGCCAATTTGCGACAATCAGAATGGGACAACATCCGTAAGTTATCCATGAATGCTAAAAAAACATTAAAAGCAGCTGTTGATTGTGTACGAGAAAATGTGGCTGATGAGCGGTATTTACATGGATCATATGATTCAGATCAAGAAGATGATGAGGATATGATGCTTAATACTACAAGTAAACGTATAAACTTTACTCAAACACAATAAAGAATGATTTGTTTGTTACAGGCTATGCACCTTATTCACGGTCGGAATTACTAGCTAAACTTCACTTAATTAAACTTTTTATCTGTTACACATTACGTGAAAAACGAGCTTTACGACGTCTCGGTGCTTTGCCCAAACTCGACGCAGCATGTTTAAATAAAGTGTTCAATGAGATGCGTGACGAAGGATTTGCCGATGATGGTTTGTTCGATAAAATGGCAGAATTCTTTCTTCCGTTAACCATTTCAGAGCAAGAATTATGCATAGAAGGTGAATTGGACACACAAAAGCGTCAAACATTAACGAAAGATCGTGAAGAATTATTTTCTAACATAGAAAAACAAAAGAAAGAGATTGATGAACAAAAAATCGTTTATTGGACATATGATGAGCAATACCACTCAGCACGAAAACATCTCAATGATGTCAGAGAGTGTTATTTTCAAAAGCGATCAACGACCACTACAAGGACCAATGACGGGCAACAACAACAGCAACAAGCACAAGCATTGCAGCAATTGGATCGGCAATGGCATAAACAAGAAGCGGAACTCATTGAGAACATTAACGAAATAAAACAACTGATAAAGGATCTTGGAAAATTCATTGCTGAGTTGGATATAGAACTTGACAAGAACAGTGCACGTCTGGAAAATATAGAGACAGAACTTACTGCTTCTCCCAAATATGTTGACAAACGCCTTATTAAGCCTGCTCGTGGACTTATTATGTACGGACCCCCGGGTGAGTTTTAATGTGCATCAAAAAAAATTTTCAATTGTTTGTCTTTCTCGAAAACAAAGGTACAGGAAAATCAGAAATTATCAGTAAATTAGCAGCAAAATTAGGCATCGTGACTGTTGGTCCACCACTGGCTGCCGGCGAGTTAAATCGTCCACTTGTTGGAGAAAGTGAACGAGTATTAATTGCCTTATGTCAACGATGCTATCGAGTTCCGTATGCCATGTGTTGTATATCAATTGATGAAATAGATTCATTAGCACCAAAACGTGACGAAGATTCAAGTGAAGGCAAAGTCGACAAGATCTCCGTGCTTCTATCACTAATCGAAGGCATTAAGGATGTTCCAAATCTAATGATTTTATGCGCAACTAATCGGTTGCATATGATGGACGAAGCATTTTTACGTCGAATGTCCGGAAAATTTTTTGTCGGAAGACCATCATCAGATGCACGTATCACTATTCTTAAATCTATACCAGATTGTGCTTTAAAACCTGAAATACTTGATCGTCTATCAGTTGCTACAACTAACTTTAGTGGAGCAGCTGTCAGGTAATCATTCTTTTAATCAATGAGAAAACAATTAATTCTTGCGTTGTTCTAGAGCATTGACTCGAAGTATCACTGTTAAATGTATTGCAGCACGTCGTACTAATCGAAATTATCAAGTAGATTATATTGAAGCACTGGAAATAGCTGATCGTACTGCTCAGCAATATCAAATCTTGTTTGCTAGTGAAACATTACCACGTCTTCTATTACGTAATTTACTCGACGGTACTCGTTTTCATATTCATCAGTTAACCAATAACTTCATGTATACTGGACGAATTGTAGTAGATTTAACCGGTGGTTATGTGCGAATAGAAGCGAGCATACAACGTGCTGGTGCAAACAATCATCAGCTGTCAATCATCGAACATGAACTTCATTCAAATGAAACGAATGTTAAAGCATTACTTGAAAGATTGACTTCCTATGGAAAAAACCGAAATGTACAGCTACTTCAGCTAGTCGATCTGAATCTATTAGCTTCACAAGGTGCTCATGACGAGAAAAAAGTTTTTGAAACATTAAAAGATCGTTTTGACGAATCTATTGCTTACACTCGTTCAATGATCGTCTATGATCTCGATGCATTAGTTGGTGTGAATAAATCTGAATCGGATTCAACTATGGGACGATCAACGTCATCATCTGTTGTTAATCAACATATTTATACTTATGTACGCTCAAGATTTCTTGATTGTAATATAGAATATGAAAAAGGTAAATCCATTGACAAGATCGAACGATGGGCTGTGGCTATTATTCGTGAACCATTTTTATTACGACAATTTTGCGTCGATGTTAAATTTACTCGTACTCGTCAAGAAGAGGAAGAACTCGAATTGGAACGAAGCAAAGCAGAAGATCTACTTAAATGCATTAAATGCAAAGATTTTTATATTGAGAATGACAATAAAATGGGTAAAAGATTTGCTTTCTATTTAAATAATCTTATACGTCAAAAGATTATTCTAGGTCAATGCGTTCATCATGATGGATATATATATGACAATTCAGCGGCTGATTTGACTAAATATACTCCAAGTGAAGCAACACAATTATTGAGCAAACTTGAATGTGATACTATCATTGATACGGAACGACACGATGAGCTCGAAAGGCAAAAAGGTAAATTTAAATGGATTTGTTGTGATGCAGTGCTTGCTAGTGGCAATACGGGCGGCTGTAAAAAAGGGAAACATGGCTTTCAAGTCAAACAAAATAATAATTTACAAGACAGACGACAAGCTGATACCACAGTTGATCGCTTGGCTCCAACAACCATCGAGGAATGGGAGCAGGTGTGTCTGAACAATGAAGACTACAATAATAAATGGCTCATGCTATTAGCAAGCCGTGATTAATGACAAATATTTATATACCTTTTACTTTTTTTTGCTTTCCGAAAAAATAGAAAAGCATATAAAATTCGTTAATCTAGGAGGTATTGTAAGTGTGTAGGTTTGTCTTCGTTTATCCATACTCATATCTTCGTAAACGCAGCAATATCATCTTGTTTGTAGATTTGAAGAAGAATTATCCTAGACAAACCTGCCTTGATATCAGTGAATTGGACGAGTAACACACAGCGTTTCGCTGATTAATCTCTAATTGCCGATAAAGAGGAGATTGATCGATTTTTCCATCGACGATTGCTATGCATCAACATAATAATGAGCAATCTATTGATTGAAAATAAAATTTGAAGAGGGTGTGAGTGTGTGGGTGTGGGTGTGGGTGTGAGTGTGGGGTGTGGGTGGTGTGCGGGAGAAGAGATAACTTCAATACTCGCAGCCACACCCACACCCCACACCCACACCCACACCCACACCCCACACCCACACTCACACCTACACCCATACCACCCACACCCTGAAAACATGAAATTCATTTATAGTATTCTAAATTATTACGATTGATATATAGAAATATATGATGAGTCAATGGATTTAGTGTCATAATTTATTTCACTACTTCAACAGCCTAAAAATCAGTGTATGGCAATATACTCGAAAACAAAGTACTACTCGACTAAAGGGTTTAGTACCCAGTCGGACTGGACACCTAGTCCGACTGGGACCCAGCTCACCAGTCAGAACAAGGACTGGTGCATCCCTACTATAGTGCAAGTCACAAAGAAAAGGCGAAGAGTTTTCATTATTGTTCTTCACAAAAATACCATAAACTAATTCCAGTCATTGTCGTGCCATTTGTTGATTTCTCCTAAAAGATGTAAAGATTTCTCTTTCTAGTTGCCATCCAATATTACTCTCTATGAAGCCCAGTTCGATGAGTGTCTATGTGTAAAAATGAAGATAAAAATATGAGAGAGAGAGATAGGAAGAAAGTGGTACTAACCGTGTTGATTCGTAATGCATGTGCCAGATGCTGCGCTCCTTCATGCCCGATTTGATTTTCAGAGAGATCCAGTTTCGTGAGTGTCTGGATGAGAAAGTGACGATAAAGATATGAGAAAGATGAAAAAACGTGATACTCACCCTGTTAGTTCGAAGTGTATCTGCCAAATGTTGAGCTCCATTAGCCCCAATCTGATTGCGTCGAAGACTCAACTGGGTGAGTGCCTGCATGAAGAAATGAAGAAGATGGCAGATAAATGGGATGAAAGTGACAATACGCTGTTAGTTCGTAAAGCATCTGCCAGATGTTGGGCTCCTTCGGCTCCGACCTCATTAAAGTAGAGCTCCAATATAGTGAGTGTCTGTGAGACGAAGTGAAGATGAAGATGCAAGAGATGTGGGAAGAAAGTAGCACTAACCGTGTTGATTCGTAATGTATCTGCTAGATGCTGTGCTCCTTTAGCTCCAATGTCATTCGATCCTAGGTTCAGTGTGGCAAGTGTCTGTATGAAGAAGTGAAGATGAATATATCAGGAAGATGAAAAGAAAGTGATATTCACTCTGTTAATTCGAAGTGTATCTGCCAGATATTGGGCTCCTACATCTCTGATTCGATTGGCTGCCAGATTTAATGTGATGATTGTCTGCATGAAGAAGTGAAGACGAAGATGAGAGAGAAGTAGGAGACAATGATACTCACGCTGTTGGTTCGTAGTGCATCTGCTAGATACTGTGCTCCTTCAGTTTCGATTTCATTGCATCTGAAATCCACGATGGTGAGTACCTGTGTGGAGAAGTAAAGATGAAGATGTAAGACAGATAGGAAGAAAACGACACTTACCCTGTTCGTTCGCAATGCATTTGCTAGATGTTGTGCTCCCTTAGCTCCGATTTGATTTTCTGAGAGCTTCAGTTCCATGAGTGTCTGCAAGAGAAAGTGACGCTAAAGATATGAGAGATGAGAAGAAAGTGATACTCACGCTATTGCTTTGTAGAGCATCTGCCAAATATTGTGCTCCTTCAGCTCCGATATCATTTCGATAGAGATCCATTATGGTAAGTGTCTGGGTGGAGAAACGAAAATGAATATGTAAGAGAGATGGGAATTAAGTGACACTCACCGTATTAGTTCGTAGTACACCTGCCATATGTTGAGTTCCTTTATCTCTGATTTTATTTTCTTTGAGCGTCAGTTTAATGAGTGTCTGTATGAAGACGTCGCGATCAAAAAGTGTCATAGAGCGAGATGAGAAGAAAGCGACACTCACGTTGTTGTTGCACAGTGCATTTGCCAGATGCTGGGTTCCTTCAGCTTCAATCTTATTGCATGTGAGCTTCAGGTCGGTGAGTGTCTGTGTGGAAAAGTGAAAATGAAAATGCAAGAGAGCGGCAGGACGAAAGTGGCACTAACCGTGTTGATTCGTAATGCATCTGCTAGATGCTGTACTCCTTTAGCTCCAATGTCATTCGATCCTAGGTTCAGTGTGGCAAGTGTCTGTATGAAGAAGTGAAGATGAATATGTCAGGAAGATGAAAAGAAAGTGATATTCACTCTGTTAGTTCGAAGTATATCTGCCAGATATTGGGCTCCTACATCTGTGATTTTATTGGATGACAGATTCAATGTGATGATTGTCTGCATGAAGAAGCGAAGAAAAAGATGAGAGAGGAATAGAAGACAATGATACTCACGCTGTTGGTTCGTAGTGCATCTGCTAGATGCTGCACTCCTTTATCCCCGATCTTCTCGCATGCGAGGTACAATGTGGTGAGTGTCTGCGTGAAGTGGTGAAGATATAAATATGAGATTGATAGATCAAGAATGACGACATCACTCTTCTTTCCTATTGTACGTGCAAAATAGGTATTCGTGTAAGAAGCTGTTCCTTAGTCAGTCGATGATCCAAATTGTAAACAGAGTAGGTTTAATACCAAGTTTGTGTCCGGGGGAAGGATCTTTAAGGTTTTGTACCGATATGTGGAACTTAACAAGGATTGGAAAAAGACTTACAGAATAGTTTGTAGGTTACGTATGGCGATATGAAACCTTGAAGATTTTTTTGCTGGACACAGGGTTGATAATAAACCTTTCTTTTTAGAGTGCATATCTCAATAATGTTCAGAATTTGAAGGGAAGGTGGATGCGTTCGGCACCTCAGTATCACACTAGTGATGACGTATAGACATGTTTCATCGGTGCGTTACATGCCAAGAGCCGATTTGATATCTGCAGTTTCAGTTTTCGATGATGAACCATATAATCTAGTAGGCTGTTCTCAGTCTGACGTCAGAGAAAACGTAATTGAAAGGAAAGGTATCACTGAAGGACGAAGATCGGTTGTCTTTGGACATCCATCCTATGTGTTTGTGTGCAGTTTTTCAGAAGATGTTTAGATAGAATCGAAAAGTACATCAGCTACTTAATTATCTAGGGTTCGTCGATCGAATCTGATCGGCTAGTAATAACGGTTCTACTTAAACAAAAAACCACCCACCGTCATGCAACTTAGGACAATCATTTAGTATCTGGCACGCCAGCAACGGTGCCCTAGCACTATGGCAGCAGTTGGCTTTCAACCACGATAAGCATTTCTGTTGAAAATACACCTAAGTTTATTGCTGATACAACATATATTGATGTATCAGTCTTTGTTTCATATGAAAATAAATGCAAAAACCTCGGATTTAAATCCGAGTGTTATGTGTACTTCAAAAAGTGAAAAGCTATATTCACTATGTTTTTTATCACTAAATTGCAAGGAGAAAATACAGGCGTGCTAAGTTAGCATGGACCACACTGTATGCGATTCTATCCGGTGACCACTGACTCTACTCTCACAGTGATATAATATCTTTAGAAATCACAGGAATTGAGTTCAGATTCGTGTTTAGCTTGGAAAACTGGGTAAGAAGAGTTATTTTTGAATGGATTTGCGTTTGTATCTAGCAGGATTACGATCGTAAGCAACCTCATCAAT